GTATCTGTCATCCTCCAAGAATGATCTCTAGCGGGTGACCTCAGTTCTTTTGTTGTCCTTATGGGATGTTTTGGTTTGTTAGCATTCGGTTTTTTTGTCTTTTCACATAAGGCATTTTTTATATGTGAGATTTCAGTTGGTATTAACAGGAATTACCTGTTGTTTAATTCCGCTAGTAATCAATGAGCCAATCATGAATTCCTGTAGTTCAAATTAGACATAAACAAGAGCTAAAACAAGACTGATAGAGTAAAAAATATATATATGAAATACAGTAAAAAAATAGAATTTATAATGTGAAATGTGAACTATAGCAGTGTATAAGAACATATAAGCACTTTCTTCCATCGCATAAATAAAATTTACACCTGCATTAAAAGATAATTTTCTTTGTGAATAACAGCAGAACAGTCTTTAAAAAAGAAAAGAACTTCTGTGAACATCTTTTCAAGTTAAAACTGTAATAGATTAAGGAAATAATATGGAAAAGGCAAAATCTCTTGATTTCAGGCATGCAAAGAGCTTAAGTGGATGGGCAGTTCCCATTGTGCATTGCCTTGGAAAAATTAGGCCTTAATTTATATGTAAATAACAACTCTGTTCACATCCCTCTTCTACCTAAAATTGTCTTTAGTGACCTATATTGTATTAAAAATTAGCTCATAAGTATTACTTTTATATTATGTCCATTTTCTAAAGTTGCATGTTTATACTCTTTGCTACAGTATTTTTAAGTTTTGGGTGAAGGCCATCAGCTGTATCAAGAAGACAAAACAATCACTATTTATTCAGTATTGCTGCTTTACATTTCCAGAATAAGCTTTCTATGCCAGGACAGTGACTGCCTGAAAGCTGCAGGAGCTCTTTCCAATGCATTTTATATATTTTTAGAAACCAAATAAATGCAGAAAACTATTTAGTATACTAATTATATTAAACCAGCAGAAATATAAAGGCAATAAAGTATATACATATATATGGGGGGAGGGGAAAGATGAAAAAATAGGTTTACAGCCAGACCTGGTGATAGCCCTAAATCTATTTCTCAGTATGTTTTTCTTTATTGACCCTAGGAGGATTTGAGTTGCTGCAGCTTTAAACAGAAAATTGCCACATTCACTAATTGTGGACACATAAATATGCTTTTAATACTGCTTTGCTTATGTACAAATAAAAAATATGTAATATGTATTATATGTAATTACTCTTTTCTTTGCCTTTCATTTCAAAATGTATTATATTTTTTGATTATTATCATGAGCTGTAAAACAAAGGATCAATATCAGATATTCTCCCAAATAATAAATTTTCAGGATTCATTTGGGGCATTACAATCGTTGGTTTGTTTCTTACATCCTTAATATTTTAAAATATAATCTTATTTCCTTGGAATAATATTAAAACTCAGATATTTTCATAAAAGCTGATGTTTCCATCTATTCTACTGCAGCATTTGCATTCCTTTATGCCATAAGAACCTACGATGATTCTATTATATACCAGGCACCTATCTAGGAATCAAGGATGCGTATATGTGTACAAATAAATTCAGTGCAGATCACAGAATCATCATGGAAGTATTTGCATGGTATGGTAGAAGCACGGGGAGGGTGAGATCGAGTCTTCCTGAATGAAGAATAACTGACAGCATTCTACTCTTAGAAAATGCCTTTCTCCTTCAAGTTGTGGCTCAAAAATCACTTCTTCATGGAAGCCTTTTCAGTTAACAATATAAAGTTTCAGAAGAGTAGAATGAACTCTAGGAACTGAGAATAGGGTCACTGGATTCCATTCAAATTTATCTTTAACGGGTTTGGGAACACAATCTGACCTTGGAAGTAACCAGATTGGGGACCTGGTGAACCCTGCAGATATAGGTGTTTCCCAAGAGTTGTCCTGAACATGAGGAAGAGGAGTCTAAGAAATTCTTCAACAACCCAACAAATGTAAATGAGAAACTCCTCAACTCTTTGGAGGTTCTATCCCACTCAATGGTCTTGGGAATTTCC